AGTGCTGTGAGTACTACTCATGTCACCGAAAGGATTCATGCCATCCGTACATAGACATATCCTCATGTTTCTAGGGTCGACAGCAAAGTCTTTGTGTTTTTGATCGATATTCCTCCATTCAATCGAATCCGCTAGTTGTCTAAGCATACCATCATTCCTTCTCTTCGTGGCGTGCCAATGTACTAACTTCGCTTCGTTTGGGTTGGCAAAGATTCAAGACGATCAATGATAGGTAAATACCACACAACCTTTGCCGGACAACCCCTCTTTGACTTCTTTCCTTCGTCAGCACTTTTCTTTCGCTTGTATCGAGAAGCCTTGCAGACAGGACAAGCATCCAAGTCCGCATATTGCTTGTGGTACAATATGCAGTCGTTTGGACAAGCGTGAATTCTACAGACCTCTAACCCCAGTGGACATGGAACCTGCTTTGCTTTGTATGTCGTCTCGGGCAATGTGTTCTCAGCAGGAAGCATAGCCTTCAAAATTCCTAAAAGATATGTGATACTCTTGTCTGTCCATCCACTACTTGCCTTCAGCTTCATTAGGTCCAAGGTAACTGACAACTTAGTGTGTTTTGCGTTGCATCCAGCGTACAGAGGCGTCTCGGAATCACTAACCAACCTGCTGAACTTCATAGAATCTCTCTCATTCTGGGCTAGGTCCTCAACGTCACGTAACATGTCTTGCAGCAAATCGTGATCCACATCAACCATTTCACCGTCCAATGGAGAAGGTATAAATATGTCATGCTCATCTTCATCTTTCTGATTATGCGCACCACTTCTGTTTGCTGCTGCTCCACTTCCTGATTCTTGCTCTCCATGCTTCACCCAACATGTATAGCCCTTCATGAATCCTTGTTGTATCAGATGACCGTGTATAACCCCCTTCGCTATCAAACATATTCTCATTCTTGCAATCTGCACATGGACAACACATGTAATCGCTGTTTCTTCTTTTCCTATCCTCCTCCACGGCGTTCATAAAATTTATTACGCTATTTCTGTACTCCGGAAAATGATGTTTCATATTTGTCGCATACATCCAACTTCGATCAATTGCTACAAAATAAAAAAAACAAATTAGAGGCACATCTTATAAGATCTGTATTGCTAAAGTAAGACGAGATGAAATTGCTCAATTAATGATTAATATTACTCACTTGATTGCTCCATTTTTATCACTTTTGGGAATTTTCTGTTTTCCTTGGAAAAAACACAAAAAATCGCCCCCTACAGCCTCCCACCAAAACAGTGAACAGTGGGATACAGTTACACTAGGTGGTGTGGGGTATTTATACTGTGCAACAAATATCTGTAACGGCCCTAAAACAATCAACCGTGACAGGCATACAAGTAATCTCTATCGGGCCTTAATAAAAGCCCGTCAAAGAAGAGTGTCATCTGTGACGGGCATTAAACTTATCTCAATCGGTCATCTAGTTTTACTTCCTTGTGACGGCCCGCAAATTCCAGTCTTGTTAAGGGGCCGTCACAGATGGAAGGATCTGTACTAGTGTTTGTTTTATACACTTTCATCCAATCAACATTACCTTTTTCTCTTTTTTTTTTTAAGTTTGTAAAGAGATTGCTCCTTGCATAAGTAGTGGCTTATCATCTCTTTCCTTTCTTTTCCCATCCACCTTACCATTATGCATACGTGGCATATAGGGATTTATGTTTAGATGCTTATAGTATTTGCTCTTAGTACGTAGTAGCTAGTACCAAAAGCTGGCCAGTACAGCAAGAGGAAGAACTATAAAATTATAGGAGTAACCTAAAGTTTACTGTTGGATTAAAAAATAGACATATGAGTTTTAACCATGTCCTCAAGAGTAAAACTTTTCCTCCTAGTAAAATTTTTATCGTGGTTGAATCTAGGAGTAAACTATATTTTACTTTTGGTGATGTAGACAAATCTCATGCATCCATTTTAGATCTAACGGTAGTTTCTAGGTTTTCATTATTTATATGGTTTCCACTACATATTTTCCCCTTTAAAAGCGCCGCATAGGATTAGTTGATGAGGTGGATAAAAGAAGTAAGGAAAGAGAGAGGGGCAATTGTAGCATCCCAAAAATTCGCTAACTAAAATCCGTCAATTAAAATTCGCCTTCCAAAAAAAAACCTTATGCATTATTTTGCATCATGCCGGGTCTTGGATTGTTATCTTTTTGCTCCTCTAAATATTTGAATCTCATTTCTCCCTTTTTCTGGTTGTTAGGTTGCTTGTGTATGAACTCTGCAAAAGTCTATTTTCCTTCCCCCTCCCTACCGAACCCTGTCTCGGATTGTGAGGCTTCACAAAAAAGTCTACTTTGCGTCCCCCAGCCCAAGGCAGCCCTAAAAGGAATGTCTTGCCCTCCCTCCTCCCCTCCTTAATCCCTCCCCAAACCTCGGACGCGTGGACCACCGCACCATTGCCGCACCAACTCGGCAACCGCCGTTGCCCTCTCACTCGCATCGACGTCCGCCATATCCTAATTGGCGCCGTCGCCACTCCGCCCGCTCTCACCGCACCGTGCACCACACCGGACACTACCGCCCTAACCGCCGAAGTGTTAGCCGCCGACCACCATCGTCGCCCAAATCGCCAAGGACCCTAGCCAGGTTAAGCGCCGCACTCACGGCGCCGTTAACCGACAGCTGCTAGGTGCCCCAACCGCCAATGCCCGTGCACCCGATAGCGTTTATAGGGTGCTACTTGGCGGTTTGGGAGTGTTTATAGGAAGTTTAATGGAATTTTAGTATATAGATAGATTGCCATGCCCAATGCAGCAGTTTGTCTTGCAAGCATTAGCTGTAGCAAGAGAGTGTGTTGTTTGGTGTATGGCTGGTTGCCCAGGCTCTCATGAGTTCCTGCTCCTAGGAGGGTTTTGTATCGCGCGTTGCTTTTTGAGATCATTTCTGTAGAGGGTTCCTTCTTGGTAGACCGCTCAGTTATACATAATTATACTTCGTTTTGATGAGATGAAGTGCAAGCCACTTGTCATGTCGGTTAAAAAAAGAGGATGCCAGTGTTGGTGGAGGTTGAGTACGGTTGTCGTTTGTAGATCAACCCGCAAACGACAAATCTGGCTCCACCACCCGCTGCCCGAGGAAGTGGTCGCTGGTCGCACCTGCCCGCCGTCGGAGGAACTAGGCACCCGCCACTCCCGTCCATCGCCGAATCCTTCCAGCGTCGACCACTTCCACCAGTCGCCAAAGGAGAGGAGAGGATAGAGGAGGAGGAGGAGGAGGAGGAGAAGGAGAGGAAGTTGAGAGCCGAGAGGTTGAGGATGAGAAGAGAGAGAGAGAGGGGGGGCTTGATATTTTAAGGGTGAGCTCGATTTGGTGGGCTGGTGGCAGGTGAGCTTATTGAGAGGCCCATTTGTGAAAATTGATTTTCACATACGGTTCTTGAATCGTGTTCGAGGGAGCAATTTTTGCAAGTAGGAGCCGTTTATGGCTTGCCTATAACTTAAAGGGGTTTTGTCCGGAAAAATCGATTCCGTAGTAATATAATACTTTCCTACATTTTGTTAAATGAGACCTTAGAATTTGTAAGCTTGATTTGCTATTGTAGAGTTCCAAAATATGGCCAGTGTTTTGTCTCGTAAGATCAAATGATCTTCAATTATGTTCATGTTCATGTAGGAAGTACACATGTTACCATTTTCTTGTGTACAAACAAACAACAAAAACTCAAATTATAAGGTACCATCGTATTCAACTCATGGCATCCATAATGTGCATTCAAAATGGGTAGTAAGAAATAAATACTACTACCAGGTTATATACATTATGGAACTAGTAAGTACTAACTAATACCAGGCAATACGCTTAGGGCATCCTCAAGTTTGTTGCAAAAGTAGGTAGTTAGGTGGACCAGTGTAATAGTAGATCGAAGATACAACACAATGTATATGTGTAAAGTGAGTAACAAGATAGAACTCATCTAGAAAAAACCTCAAACATGAGCCATGCCACAAGTAAAAAATAGATATGACCTACCACAGAGTGTTTATAATCTGGTAGTAAACCTATGGCTTAACAGTAGTTATTTACTACTACTACTTCCACAATCTATCTTACCGGATAACAAGAATATTTTAATCCCTAATAACCATATTTCACTATATTGTGAATACCCTTACTACCTAATCATAAGAATTAAATAAATAGTTTTCTTTCATCCCTCTCGCATGGCTAGTGGTTATGGGACCAACTTACTATCCAATTTTGTTGTTTCACCATTGTAAGCGACTACTCTCTTAGGGTTGATAATACTTGTCGTCTTGGATAAGAGTACAGTATCCGAAAAACAACTTTGACCATTATTTTCCATAATAATACTTCCTCCGTTTTATATTATAAGACTTTCTAGCATTGGCCACATTCATATATATACTAATGAATCTAGATATATATGTAACTAGATTCATTAACATCTATGTGAATATGGATAATGGTAGAAAGTCTTATAACCTGAAACGGAGGTAGTAGTATAAAAGTGTTAACAAATATATGATTTTATTAAAGTACTTTTTAAAACTAATCTATACATGAAGTCACCATATTTGAAAGACAAATATTTTAAAAATGATTCACAATCAAAGATTCTAAAGTTTGACCTCACTCTTATCTAAAACAATAAGTATTATTAGCCCAGAGGGAGTACAACAATTAATATTGACGCAGGATCTACCTTATTTACAAAGTAGGTAGTAAATATCGGTGAAGCCCTTCTACGGAGTATTACATTCAAAAACATTTTGGATGTAGTAGATGCCAAACTGATTTCAGTTATCTTAAAGAAATATTTCATTCGAGAAAAAAACTTGAAATCAAAAAAAATGGAAGACAACAAGCCCCGGGCCGGAAAAAGGCCGAAACTTCACCAGGCTGGAACCCGATAGGCCCATTAAAAATGACTCCTCGTCTGCAGTCACAGCGAATCTCAGCCGTCCGTTTCTCCATCCAACGGCCACCGTAGCTCTTAGAGAGCGCAGCAAACTTCCGCGCTATGTGGGCCCCACCTTTTCCCTCCTCTCGAAATTTCGAATTTCATACCCCTCGACTCAAGCCGGCGATGCCGCCGGCGGCGGCGAGCCCCGGCGGCGGGCTGAGGAGGGGGACGGCGGGAGAGGCGCCGCGGTCGGAGAAGAGGCCGCGCGAATCCCAAGGCCTCGAGAGCGAGTCCGGCTCCGACGGCGGCTCCGGGTCGGACTCCGACGGCGACTTCGTCAGGTTAATGGCTGCCCCCCCCCCCTTCAAATTCAATCTCCTTCAGGAATACTTTCTTGGGTTACGAATTATTGGGAGAATTTTGCTTTCTTATCGAGGTTTTACCTGGTGGATTGGATTGCAGCGATTTGAGGGAGATCGTGTGCCTGCTGCGGCTGATCAAGGGCGGGGCGGACAGGGAGGGCCAGAAGATGTGCGAGCAGATCATCGCCAGGTGACGACGAATCCGGAGGGTTCTCTGGCCATCACGTTTCTGAATTTACTTTACTTTAGGATCAATTTAGTTTGAAGATGCTCTGCTATTTACGTGCTGGATGATGGATTGCTACGCGTATGCCGAACTTGCTTCTTTTAACTCTGTTCAGGGGATTAATGATGGAATTGTGGGCTTTCTACAGTTTGTGCTAGTGAAGAACTTGCTAGGTTCTCGGTGCGCTAGCGTTTCTATGCATTTTGTGCTAGCTCGTGGTTATGTGACTGATGCTATCATAGTTCAAGGTGAATGGTCAATTCGCCATGAATTGGTTAGTATCTGGGACCGTCGCAAGTTGCTTCTAGAGTAGCGCGATGTATGAATTTGTTGGTTCTGAGATTTGTCTATCATCTTAGATTTGTATCTTGATATTGCTGCTTCTTGTTGTTTGTGTGTTATGCATGTGTGGTGGTAGCGACTTACTTAAGTCGATCTGGTGAAAATGTGCATGGCAATGTTGAGCTACTGGAACCTATTTTTATTCTCATACAGGCTGCTTTCCCATCAGACCAATTTACTATCTCTTATACTTCCAAATAAAGCACAACTTCTTTAAAAAAAACTATGCGAAGAAAATCCATACATGTAGATCGTATTATCATTTCTTCAAGCTAGAATTTGAGAAAATTAATTGGTTATGTTCACACAATTCAAAAAGTAAAGTAAGTTCTTTCACTGACGGTACTGCAAATTGTTTATGTCTTTCATTGCCCAAGGTATGACACTTCTGCACAATTTTTTGTGAGTAAATACTTTAGCATGTTCTAAATGTCTTCTTTCATCAGTATGATTACACTCTCTTGTGAAGTTATATGCACTACATACGGCTAATATTCTTTGCTAAACCTTTAGTGTTGCAGCAGATATTCAGACTATGTTAGAAGATACCAAGTTAAAGTTTGAGAAACAAAGGTATTGCATTTGCTTGTGAATATCTTCTCCATAGAACTACACCTAACCCGTTATGGACTGTAAAATAGCATTCAGACCTGGCATTTGCACTTAGCATGAACAAGTACGCTTTAATCCACTTAATGAAAATAAAAAGGTTCATCTTTACTGAATATGTACTGACAATTATCTCCATTGCATATGCAGGCAGAATTTGCTGAAAGTATTGTCAAACACTTCCAAAGAGGTATTCAAATTGCATTTAATTCACAACTGTTATCAGTTTATTTATTTACCTATAAATTGATTTTTTTTCCCAGCAGTGTGACAGTTCATTGAGCAAAGAGTTCATCAAATTTCAAGAATCATATGAAATATTCTGTAAAGAAAAAGATGTGCACGTACAGGCATTCAGAGGTATGTCAAATGAGAGCTAGCATTTACCCAAATACTAGTACCATATGTGCTGCATGTTGAAATGGATCCCACATACTGCAACGAAATGCAATAATAGATATAATTCTCAAATTTTAAAACTTATAATCATGATAACATGAGACCAATCGACACCTACTTATACACTTGTGCAAGGATGAATTTATTTCATAGAAAAATCTTACAACACATACATCCCGACATATTTGCAGCCGATAAAGATCTAAAATGGGTGTAACCTGTAGGTATAGAACAATTCATCACCCCCCAACTCCCATCCTTTTTAAAGAGTAAAGATATAGAATCACACTTCATGTGTATCAAGGCATATTCAATGGTTATTTTTTTATTGTTTTGTTCCCATAATATATGAAAAGTGCTTCTTGTTTCTATCTGTAGGATTGATTTTTGGCTGTGTACACCCTTTTGTATGTAGAGGCTGGGTGTTTGTTAAAACCCATTATCTAAAAAAAATAGGATTGATTTTGCGACTTTGTTTTATTTTCATGTCATACTATCTACAGGACAAATTTAGTTGAAATTCATGCTTTGTTTGCTAAAATGCACGTTGTAGACTTGTAGGCTGGCTGCTTTCTTCTCCAAAGATTTGCATGCTGTGGCTGTAAAGGTGTTCTGTTAAAATTACTTTAACCTAACAATATTCTTGTGAAATGTTATGCTCCACAGACCTGTTCTCAAAAGTTGAAGTTGAGAAGAAGGCCTTGCTTGAACAGTTTGAAAATCATAGTAAGTAACTAGATGATTTGCCTATTTCATACAAGGAAAGATGGTTAGCTATGATAGTAAATCTTTCTACCAGGGAAGGAGGAGACAGCCACGTTGTCAGAGCTTGACAATACCTTCTCAGAGAAGATAACACGCGCAGAACAATCTCTTCGGAAGACTGAAGTTGACAACACGTTCTCAGCGAAGATAACACATGCGGAACAATATCTTCGGAGGACACAATTTAACAACATGTTCTCTGGGAAGAAAACACATGAAGAACAATCTCTGCGGAGGAAAGAATTTGACAAGACGTTCTCAGAGAAGGTAACACATGCAGAACAACCTCTGAGGAGGATGAAGCAGGTATTTTTCGAATACATTTCAGATTTTGCAGCTGATTACCCTGTTTCCTGTGAGTAACAGCGTACTTCGTCTCTTATTCAAATTTCTTTTTCTTAGGATGATAAGTCCTTCATCATCCTTCGCAAGTCAGTTGGCTCGTTCCTTGAGTTTGGCTCCGATGATGATTTTGACCTTGACGATGACTAACGCTGCTGCTTGTATAGTATACTTGTTACATCAGGCATTGGCAATGCATACAGAGGATGTAAATAAAGTGAAGCTTTCGGATAAATTTATGTATATTATAGGATAATAGTGTTCGTTTTCAGTTTATAGTTTGTGTTTTTGTATCAAGCTCACTGTCTCTGCTTGAATGGTTGGTGAATTACGGCAGCATACTGCAACTGTTACCGAGAGCAGTAAGTTAAGCAAACCCAACATTCGCAGCTGTGTTTATCTACATGCTCTCATGGTGATACATGAGAGATTCCACAACGGATGTTTCTCTGTCCTATGTAAATTCTTCACCTTTACTACACATATTACGAACATCCCAAGGGTAGATACAAATTATGATCCATTTCATATTTGCATTGACTAAAAGAAATTATCACCTGAATGTAACTATGGCCGTGTTTAGTTTCAAAGTTTTTCTTCAAACTTCTAACTTTCCCATCACATCAAAATTTTCCTATACACAAACTTTCAACTTTTCCGTCACATCGTTCCAATTTCAACCAAACTTCCAATTTTTCCAAACACAGCCTATGTAAGTATGAAAACTGGGATGCATGCCATTCAGTCACCTTCCAATAAAATGAAATAAATTTTCCATGAATTGTGGTAAGATGGCATGGTTACAAAGCTCCATGCAATTTTAAAATATTCCAGCATTCACACCTTGATGGCGAGAATTTGACAAGAGGCAATGAAGTTCATAGCGAATAAAAATGTACAGATTTCAAGTTCATTTCAAGTTAAGAATAGTCACCAAATCTCAAAGTTCAGCTACTTTCGTTACTTTCTGCATCAACTTTCTAAGGACAAATAAATTTCCATCCATAGAGAGTTCTTTAATTGTCCAATGTCAAATACAAGCAATTGAAGACAGATTTGCTCTCCTACTTTGAAGTCCAAATTTCAGAAGCGTTTCAAATTCTGCGAAACCCTTGACGTCAGTTCACAAACATTGAACCAATCCAATAAGGTACCCGTGCTGTGTGGAGAACGGGGCTAATTACACGAGCCATTTGTTACAAAACACTTCATCCACCTTGACGCTATAAATGTGTTGCAAGTGGGTAAACTTGCCGGTCAACATGATGGAGTCCATAACTTCAAGCTTCCTCTGATTGCAATTCAAAATCTCCTCCTGATGTTTTGCAAGGAAATGCTCTTCTTCCAGCTCATGCTACAAGGATTCAAAGCAATAAAAAAAATCACATCAATCCTCAAAATTCCATTGATTACTAACTGAACAATGAGTGAAATACACAACTGGAAGACAAATCACTAAATTCATAAAAAAGGAGGACATGGTAAAGATGATTGCTATTTAACAGAAAATGGTAGAAATGTGAAAAGAAAATTCTAATGAGGATGAGATTTTACCTTGACTAATGCCAAGTTATCCAGCTCATGTCTCCTCGACATTAACTTCAACTTTTTGACAATATGATAATCAGCATCTGAAGGGCCCACCCAGCGAAACTCTAACTTGTTCCCAGGTCTCCGGGGGCGATCATTAAACATCTCAGCTGTAGCACGAGTTGCCCTCACAGGCCTTGGCATTCCAGACATCATAAAAGGGAACTCATTGAGCATATTGACCACAGCCACAGCATCCTTCTCAGTCTCCATTATGACCAATGCAGACTGTGGGATGCTAAAGGGAATGGTGTAGTTCACCACAAAATTGATCTCTCTCACAGTCCCAAATTGATTCAGAGCAGTTCTGATGACTGACTCTGTAGCTTGGTGCGAGAAGTAATCAAGATATACAGTTCTTTTGACCTTTTCCTCAAATTCTTGGTACTGTTTTATGGCCTTCAAGTTTGCCAGATTGATGCCTTGTTCTGCAGCCTGGCCAAAAGAGGTAGAAGGCTTCATTTCAGAGTTAGCCATCTTGATTTCAGAGGTGTTCTTTCTGGCAGGAGCAGCATGTACTGCAGTGGTAGAAAGCTTCTTCTGTGGGTTGTTCTTCCTATCTGGATTAGTAGGTCTATTGCTTTGGGCATTGTTCTTAGTCTTATCAGACAGGTTTCTGGTAGGAATGTTACGATTAGCATCTTCAGAAAACCTCCGGCTCAGGGGGTCGTTGTTTGCCTCCTCACACTTGACGGCAGTGGTTACCAGGTTCCTTCTTTGGTTGTTCTTAGATTTTTTAGGTAATACTACCTTACTGGGGATGTTGATGTCAGTCTCATGAAACAACCTAAGGGGGTTGTTATTTTCCTCTTCACCCAGCATTGCAATAGTTGTCAGGTTCTTGCTTGGCGTGCTCTCTAAAGGCTTTGCAGGTAATTCCTTAATTGTTGCAGGATGTGCGTTGCTTGGGATATTGCCATTGGCCTCCTCACACAGACCTTCTTTCGCAGAGTAATTGCTAACATCGTTTCCCCACACTCCAGCAGTGATCGTCAGGTTCTTTCTTGGGATGATGTCATTGGTCTCCTCACACAAACCCTCTTTTGCAGAGTAATTGCTAACATTGTCCCCCCACACTCCAGCAGTGATGATCAGGTTCTTGCTTGGGATGGTGTCATTGGCCTCCTCACACAGGCCTTCTTTTGTAGAATAATTACTAACATCGTCCTCCCACACTCCATCAACGATTGTCAGGTTCTTTCTTGGGATGATGTCATTGGCCTCCTCACACAGACCCTCTTTTGCAGAGTAATTGCTAACATCGTGCCCCCACACTCCAGCAGTGATCATCAGGTTCGTGCTTGGGATAGTGTCATTGGCATCCTCACATAGACCCTCTTTTGCAGAGTAATTGCTAACATCGTCCATACACACACCAGCAGTGATCATCAGGTTCTTGCTTGGGATGGTATCATTGGCTTCTTCAGGTTGCTTGTCACTAGAAATGTCACAATTAGGTTCATTGGGAAGTATCTTGCTTGAGGTATTGTTATTAGCCTCATTGCACAGTTCTCCTGTGGAGATGCTGTCGATTTGATGTTGAGCTGCAGTGATTGTCAGAATCTTCCTTGAGGTATTGTTATTAGCCTCATTGCACAGTTCTCCTGTGGAGATGCTGTCGATTTGATGTTGAGCTGCAGTGATTGTCAGAACCTTGCTTGAGATGTTGTCAATGGTTTCTTCAGGTAGCTTGTCGCTAGAAGTGTCACAATTAGATTCATTGGTCAGTGTCTTGCTCGAGGTATTGTTATTAGCCTCATTGCACAGTCCTCCTGTGGAGATGCTGCTTGTGTAATGCTGAGCTGCTTTGATTATCAGCTTCTTGCTTGGGATGCTGTCACTGGCTTCTTCAGGTAGCTTGTCGCTAGAAGTGTCACAGTTAGGTTCATTGGGAAGTGTCTGGCTCGAGGCATTGTTATTACCCTCATTCCACAGTATACTGGTGGAGATGCTGCTTGCGTAACACTGAGCTGCAGGGATTGTCAACTGCTTGCTTGGTATTGTGCTCTTAGTTTGCACAGGCACTCCACTACTTTGGGCGTTGTTTCTATCATCAGGTCCGTCCATGTCTGCCTTGAGCAGGCCATTAGACAATCTCTTTCTGGGTGGTAGACGTATACGTATTTTCATCTTTGGAGGGTCCATCTTCTCATCATCACCCTTGCTAGCTTCAGCGGCCTGGTTTTCGGAGGCAGACATTTCTTTGGAACAGAATATACTCCTGCAGCTTGCAAATTAACATGGCATGAGAAGAATTCAACAAAAAGGTACTTGTCACATCTGAAATCAAGAAGTTTTCTGTTGATTTATAAATTTTAGCAGAATTTTAGACTGGTAACACAGTATAACTTAACTTTCTTAAAAGAGAAGTAGAATGAGTGGTTTTGGTGTAATGCCTCTAATAGCCTGCAATAGAGCATCTCATGCAACTAGCCATCGCTAAGCATCAATAAAAAACAAAGAGGCACTAATGGATGTCCAATAGTGACGAATGCTGTTGACGAGTACCCAAAACAGCCACATGACCTTACCCAGCATGATAGCATTATTGGCTATAGTACTACTTGTCTGGTTCCTCACAGTAACTAGTCCTCTACTATCCAAGTAAATGTTAAACGATGTAGGTCTATATATGGCCAGAAATCAGCAATTCAATTGAGGAACACTACACAGGTGTTTTCTCTAAAAAAAAAACACTAAACAGGTGGAAACCAGTTGATATTTCTCTATTTCCAGTATCGAATTGGCTTGCTATTGTCCTAAGAAAACAGTATCCTCATGTACAAGATGCATGAAGAGAATCAGCACAACTATTCAATTGAAATCAGCCATGATTATCAGAAGAATATTTAGCAGTACAGCAAAGCAAGATCACATTTATATTTTACCATCAACTTCTCATGCACCTACAAACAATCAAGCTGTCAACCAAAAGCAGTAACATAGTAAAGATGACCTCACCATCAAAAGATAATAATAATAAAATGATGATCCAGGAATGGGGGTTCAGAAACTCCAAATGAACCCCCAATTTATTTTTCATCTTTTGTTAGGAAACAAATTGGTGTCAGAAGCATACTAGCAGAATTAGTGCAGTTAATAGACAATAAACCACCAATCACCAACGGAATTGGGGTCCTTTTTCATCGCTCGAGGCGGAACGAAACGGGAGAAACGAGCCGCAAATCCGAGCAAGGCTAGGGCAAAGGGTCGGGTCCTTACCACCGAGAGGAGGAATCAACGCAGGTCCCGATCCACGCCGATCCACCGGAGTCCAACGGAGGAGGAGGAGGAGGACGAGGAGGACGAGGGCGGCGCTGCCCTCGCCGTGCCCGTGTGCGCGGCCGCTGTGATGGTTGCATCATCATCGGCGGCGTCGGCGGCGGCGCTCCGCGGCCTCTTCGCCGGAGGAGGGAGGAAGGCGCGGCGGCGTGGAACGAAGCGGCGTCCCGTTCATGCGGCGGCGCTGCGCGGCGCTCGCTCAGCCGCCGGAGTGGAGGACGACGCGGCTCGGGCCTCACAGCGGAGGGGTAATATGGGCCCGGCCCAGTTTTGCAGCGGTCGCCCACAAGGGCACCGATCCATTAGGCCCAATTAATTGTGGGCCGGGCTAAAGTGGGTTTTGGCCCTATAGTTCGTGGGTCGGGTCAGTGGGTCCGTGGGTGAGCCCAGCCCAGCATACGTGCGCCCTTTATCATGGTTTTCGATAAATTCGACTGAATTTTGACCAAATGTACTGTTTCACATTTGAATTTGTCCAAAAGCATTCGAAATTCCAACTGAAAATTAATTCCAAGCTGCGTCGAAACGTTGAAAAGGGCCTTCGTCGGCTTTGTGAATCCTGCTACCTCGTGCCGTTCCTAAGGTTTCATCAGCATGCATTAACATTTTTAGCTCGGAAGGGATTAATGGAAATACCATTGGATTTCTTATGTCTCCCATTTTATCGAGAATAGTTTGGACACTCTTATAGGCATTGGTACTAACTTTGAGAAACTCGCTCTATTCTCTCAATTGTTGCACGGACAAGCTTGCTCTATGGAAAGAAATAACTAAATGGGAGTGTATATATGGATACATAGGCTACTATTTCCTGCAGGTTCCTGCCTTTAATTTCCTAATTGACATATTGCGATAATACAGTATTAACATCTTAATAAAGAATTTTCAGTAAATAATTTGCAATTTCCTAAACATATTTCTAAATTTTATGATCTAAATGTGTCAAATAATCCCATCTTTATTGAAATATCACATAATTTTAGTACATTGTTAGGAAAGTTAATATCTCGGCTAAGGAAATCGGGAGAAAATCACGCGTTACCGTTTTCCACCCGTTAATCAGCATGATTAGCTAAATCAAATCACGATTAAATTTCCTTAATTGCATGCGCAATAATCGGTAGCGCTTCCAACGTTTCCTTTTGGAGCAGCCCCCGATTCCCTCAGCGCAAAATAAAAGGGGAGGCCGGCCTGTGAGAAAGATGACGATCTCACTCACGGTTCCAATCCACATCAGGTTATGTATTCACTCTCGCAAATGGAGCTATTTCATGAAAAAGCTCTAAACAAACTTTGACTGCATCGTCGACAATGCAGGCTGAATTTGTGGCATGTTATGAAGCAACGGGGCAGGCCGTATGGCTTAAGAATTTTATCCCGGGTTTAAGAGTGGTCGACAGCATTTCTAGACCAATCACATTATACTGCGATAATAAAGTTGCAGTATTCTATTCAAGTAACAACAAGTCGAGTGGTGCTGCCAAACAAATTAACATTAAGTATCATGTTGTGAAAGATAGAATCCAAGATCAAACCATTAAGATTGAGCATATTAGTACTAAGTCAATGCTCGCGGATCCGCTCACCAAAGGCTTACCTCCCAATTTATTTAAAGATCATGTAGCCGGCATGGAATAACTGATTGCCTTTGATTAAGACTAAGATCCTAGAAATAGGGGCATTAGTCCTAACTAACTCCCATTAAGATTAGATAGAGTTCTTTTGAAGTTTTCTAGTGAACTATAGGTACCGGAGTCTTGGTAGGACATGATAACTACCCTGACGCGTTGCCTTAGTAAATCTATTTTTCTAAGAATAAACTCATTAGCCTCAAGATCAGGGGGAGAATGTTAGGAAAGTTAATCTTTCGACTAAGGAAATCGGGAGAAAATCATGCGTTACCGTTTTCCACCCGTTAACCAGCGTGATTAGCTAAATCAAATCACGATTAAATTTCCTTAATTGCACGCGCAATAATCGGTAGCGCTTCCAACGTTTCCTTTTGGAGCAACCCCCGATCCCCTCAGCGCAAAATAAAAGGGGAGGCCGGCCCGTGAGAAAGATGACGATCTCACTCACGGTTCCAATCTCCCCGACATCCCAAAACCCAAATTTCCCGATTCTCAGTTGCGCTGGAAGGGATTCGGAGTGCTGTTCCGAGACAGTGTAGGTGGCGACCGGAAGGCCGCCGCCACCTCGCAGGTGATCGCCGGCGACCTCTTCGGGATCAAGCCGGTGTACTCACTGCTACGACCACTTCTCCTACACCGACAATTCACGAGGTGGTTCGAGGTTCTGCATCCTCTACATCCACCCCGGACCAAGCGAGAACAATATCAATGGCTTCAAACAACGGTCAGTAATCCTAAATTCCACATTAGGGTGATCATGTTAGGCTTAGCACTTATGTCTTAGTAGATTGCAACATCTACATACATAGGAAACAATATTATTTGAACCAATGAAGAATTAAACTAGACATATTCTTAATCAGAACATTAACAATCTAAAACTGCATTGATATTTCATGACAGAAACTTAAAGTATGTATTGGACATTATATATTTCTCAGTAGTTTAAATAGTGGTGAGAGTTTTACGAAATCTTAGTATCACAACATGTGTGGTTATTTGCCATAAGTCATAATGCTGGTGTTATATCTCATTTTGACTATGAAAGGGATTGAGCTGGGCACTACCATTTGACCATTCCATGTAGTTTTTTCTCATCTAAGTAACAGATAACTTCCAATCATTCAATCAAGATTTCTCCCCTATTCATATGTTACCTCAGATGGAAAACATTGTCATAGATATCGTGAAAAACGACTCATATACCATCCGTCAAAATGATTATATATACGCTCCACATTTGAGGGAGGGCAGCTAAGAAACATAGCACACCGAGTTCTCTTTGCTCTTCTTGTAATTCTTAAAGCGGTAGTAGCTGAATTTAACCATCCCACTGCTCTTGCACACAATGGCATCATAATGGACCTGGGAGATAGCATTATCATCTACCTCGTGCTCTTCCTAATGTTTCATTAGGATGTATTAACACTTTCAGCTCACAAGGGATTAATGGAGATGCCATTTGGTTTACTGATGTCTCCTGTTCTTATCGAGATGATAGTTTGGACACTCCCATAGGCATTGGTATTATCTTTGAGAAACTCGATCGCTCTGTTCTCTCAATTGTTGCACGAGCAAGCTTATCCTATGGATAGAAATACTTGGGACTGAATGGGAGTGTATGTGTGGATATATATACAAGCTAGTAATTGAGTTGGTTTTAGATTGCATTTATGGTTTTTCAACAACATAACTTTTCTACTCCCTCCATCCCAAAATATAAGGCACAGTCACTTTTCTCTCATATCTCATAATATAAGACGTGCATGCATGCATACATTAACTAGCACATCTTGATCCAATAGAATTGATTTGTTTTAAATCCTATACCATCAAACCCCCTATCACATTGCTTGCATGCATCAAGGTGATCCAACCAAGAAGGTGATTAAATGTTTTCTTGGTCTTTGTATTATGAGTGGTTGAGCCTTATATTTTGGGATGGAGGGAGTATCTAGGAAATATTATATATCACCATCACAATTTCTCGTCCCAGATAGGCATAGGCGTTGTACTACTGTGAAAACTATGTGAATATTGAATGTGCTAAGTAAGTATAGCAAAGGAAACATAACTTTAGTCGTGTATTTTACAAAGTACCATGTAACCCTTATGCAAATTTGAATTTTGAAACAAGCTGAACGTGTACTACAGAAGTGCTAAACAAAAGCTATAGTTTTGTGGGGAATGAACATTGCAGCTCTGCACCTTTTTGTTGAAGCATACGCATAAAAAACTGCTTAGGTTAGAGGTGCTTAGAGAGCTCCATGACAAGAGGTGTGTGACAAGATGATGGAAGAAACTTCAATGGAAGGAGGTGCAGTTCTTCTAATAAATTCCTATTCCTACATTTATCTCCGACATATCTTCGGTTGCAAAACTACATAGATATGAAAAAAAAAGCTATCTCGAAAAGTTTATTATGATCTTTCTGGAAGTTGCCACGAGTGTGGGCTAATGAGGGACGACGGTAGGAATGTGCGATGTAGCTAGACGTGGTTTGATTTGGCACCAGGATGAACGTCGTCACCAGGAGGCGCTAGAATAGGGAGAGGCACTGGAAGAAGGAGATGGGGAAATGGAACTATAAGTGATGCTTAGATTTAATTGACAGTGCAGTGTTATCTCAAATAGAGCCAAATCCTAGAAACTTACGGCAACAACCCAGTCAAGAGACAATGTAAACAAACTAAAATAACAAGAATTGCTGAACTTGCAATGCCAAGCCACGTATACCGATCCTGCAGGGTCTGTGCTCCTACGTAATGCTGATCTTAAATAATACACTGCTACTTCTATTGGACAGAACATTGCAGTGTAAAGTCCATGGTCAGGTATTATGTCATCAATTTTGAGGTTCTTCTTGTGTTTTCTGCTATAATGCATTGGCATCTTTAACTACTTCAGATGCTACAGGAGCTTGAACTCTGACTCCTGGTGTCTCCTCTTCCCTACTGGACCTCAACATGAGAAACGACATGGCAATTTATTCTTATAGCCCTCTACTCTATTATTTATGTTAGAATTTTTCCACTACAGAGTACTCCCTCAATCTACTTTTGATAGTCATATTTATCTTGGCACACAGACCAAGGATAAGTAATTCTACTTATCATTCATTTAAACATGCTACTAGTCATTCCTCGTAAACAAGCGATTCATTAATATTTACATTTCTCTTGAATGTATGGGGAAACTTGAATGCAATATTTGTTGAGATTATAGGCATATAATGATTTAATCTATTCCATAAATAAATCATGACGTTACAGATGTAAACTAGCATGAACGCATCATTAGATCTACACAGTATAACATGAACATATCAAATATGCGCAACGTATTGAACACGTACCGAGGTGGCGGAAAGATCGGCTGCTCGGCAGGAACTTCTCGCGATTGCAGGCGTCTACGAAGGCGCGCAGCACGCGAGCGTAGAGGAAGACGAGCCGTCGCGGATGAACAGGGAGCAGTCGCGCAAAGCGCTTCCCAAAAACCTTATTGCCGCCTTCTTCCGGTGCAGGACGTCGAAGGCAGAGGTTCCGGAGACCTGCTCTCTCGATCGCCGGTGCAAGCTGGCGAGCGGGATGGAGTAGTCTACGAGCGACGGCGCAACACAGAGGAGGAGGCAAACCCTAGATTGATTTCGCGTGTGTTGCG